ACCAGCACACGGTAAATCGTGAGCCATGGAAAGCAATTGCAGGGAAGGTGATTTTCTTCACCGGAATAGAAGCATGGAGATGGTGTGCTGCAAAATGCCTGCTACTTCTCTCTGACACAGCAAGCAGCAAGGGCAGAATCCAGTTTTAACACTTGCGCAGTTGCTGTCGAATTGGCGGCAGCTTTCGGCTGAGAAGCCAAAAGCTGCTGCCAATTTGGCACCTGCTGTGAAAGGGTTAACACTAACTTCTGCCTGAAATAGCCAATGAGCTCCTGCATGCAGCCAACCATGATTCTGGAAAAATCTTTTCTGCATTTGACTTTCCAAAAACCAAGTGTGCATCTTATTTGGGGGCATATGCAATAATATGGAAAAAGACAAGATAACAGCTGGAAACAGGCAGAAGCTACATGGAGACAAGCGGCAGTCTTAGCACATTAGCAACCTAACCCTGGTGATGTTTTCCAGGCATTATGACAAAGGCAAGTTTTAAGGAGGCTTTTGAAAGAGAAAGATGAAATGGTTTATAGGAAGTTCCTCATGTCTGTGGGGCAGCATGAGGGATGAAGGGACTTTAATAAGCAAGTGGCTGACAGGGGCAAGCAACACTGGCTGACTTGTGGTATGAGCAGTCCCTTGCTGGTGAATGAGGAGGGACAGGTCAGGTAGAAGGAGGCCACAAAGAGCCTTGGAAACGAAGGCTGGCAGCTCATGGTTCATGCAGTGCAGAAGAGGGAGTGGGGATGCACAGAGCGGGTGACAAGGTCGGAGCAATGGGCTGGGGGAACAATCTTTGCAGCCATGTCCTGGATGGACATGACCAGAGCAAGGCTGCATTCATAAGGGGTAGAGAGGAGGATGTTGAAGCAATTGAGACAAGAGAGGCTGGATGAGAGTCCTCCCCATGCAGATGGACAGGAAAGGCTGTAGCACAGAGGCGCACCCAGAGAGGATCGGCAAGGCTTCAATGGAGGAAAGGTCTAAGTTGAAGGGGATGCACAGGTTACAGGCCCTACTGATCGGGTTATGACAGTCCTGGGGGACTGAGGAACAGTAGTGGGAAAGGCAGGGACTGGAATAAAGAGCTCTGAATTAGCCACATTCAGCTTGAAGTGACAGCTACTACTCAAGGCAAAGAGACAGACTGAGACACTAGCTTGGACAGGAGACAGGTTTGAAGCAGAACGGTCGAACTGTGAGATGTCAGCGCAAGCATGGATTGTGGTTTGTGTCCATGGAGAGGGACACCCAGAAATAAGGTGTCGGGGGAGAGAAGGGGAGCAAGGCCGGAGCACCCCGTGGAGTCTCCAGAGACGGCTGGAAGCAGGATGAGTAGGAAAACCTGGAGAGAGTGACTGGAGAGGCAGGAGGAGACCCAGGAGAAGACAGAGCCTCAAAGGCCAAAGGGGAGATGCTGAGAGTGTGACAGGCTATCAAAAGTGGGTGGCAAGCCAAGGAGGCTGCGCAATGCAGAAGAGCTTCTTAGCCTTGGCTAGGAAAGGTCATCAGACAATATGTGGACTGCAAGGGATGGGGAAGGCTGACATAGACCCGGAGGAGAGGAACTCCAGATAGCTATTATTAACAGCACGTTCAACGAGCTCAGAGATGAAGAGGGAGCTGGGAGGACTGTTGGAGGGGCAGGTAGAGTCAAAGCCTGGTTTGGGCTTCCTCTCAGAGGAAAGAACTATGTAATACGAAAAGAAAGGGCGAGAGACGAGTATGAGAGCAAGGAGGAGCATAAGGGAGGGGATGACAGTTGCCAAGTGAGAAATCAGCAGACAGTGGGATGGAGTCACGGGGGACTTTGAGAAGGAGCATTAGCAAATCGCCCACATCTGCGATGGGAGGAAGAGAGGAGTCTAGGAGGAAGAAAGGTAGCCCAAGGGCCAGGGCCAGTGCAATCCGTAAATACAGTGGAGACTGAGAGGCACTTAAACATGACAGCAATGGGGCCCATGTAAATACCGCAGATTAGACTAGAGAGGAAGCGTGTACCTCACCCCAGGGACTGCGACATGTTCTGTGGTGTATTTTAGGGAAGGAAAGCTGTATTAGTAATGGGAGAGCTTACTACAGCCTCCAAGCTATTACTTATTTGTTGAACCCCACGGAGACAGTTGGCTTTCATGTGCCAAAAAACCAAGGAGCAAGTGAGTTTCTCCCACATCTTGCTGAATAATTTCCAGAACAGAGACTTGTTTTTACCTGGGGCGTAGCCAGGGCTGCTGGTTGGATACATATTTGGGTTGTAGGCAGGGGCAGCTGTGGGATACCCAGTTGGATAACCTGCAATGAGAAGGAGAGAGACGTTACACTGCTGTCAACAACAGTCAGGAAAAAAAATCAGGAGAGAATAACCTTAGAAGAAAAATAAAACTCTCAGTAAATGTACAGGTCATCGGCAGAGGTTTTGGAGCAGAAAATGCATTATTGGATGGGCCATGTTGAGAACAGGGGTGTGTTCAATACAATCTGTAGAAAACTACCAAGAAAATACATATGTTGAAGGAGTCTGATGATGACAAACCAGAAGTGGATTCAAAAGATGTTCGTTGGCTGCTTTTGTGGATATATTAATGATCTCCCAGGACAAGTTCAAGAGAAGAGCCACACATCCGAGCCCACGGTTTGCTACACGAATAATCACTGAGCTTAAAAGAACAAAACTCAAGCGAGGAAACATTGCTACCACCTCTTGCTGATCCAGGGGGTGCGGTGCTGCGAGCCGAGGGTGCTCTGCCTCTTACTAGAAATCTCCGTGTCATGACGTGCTCCCACACACAATATGTGTATCCAGCAGCACGCACATCTGTCAATAAACCGCTCTTTTATTGTCGGTTCTCCTTTATCCAATCAATTAATGACAATCTCTGGAATTCAAACCGTTGGGGGGTTTTGTTGGTTTGAACGCCCACAACTGTTTTACAGATCCGGTTTGGTACCGCTCAACATAATTGCATTCTTTCTTCCCTTTGCACTTGCTATATCCCTCCTACAGTTTCAATGAGTTGCACGTTCTTCGCTTCCTGCTGCTGAGCGGAGCTGTGCAGCGTTTACCAGCGGCGACCATTTCCTCGGTCTCTCTAGGTACTTAAATTTCCCCCTTCCTATGAAAGATAGAGGTCAGAGTGGGACAAAGTCAATCCTAGGTGGTCTCCTATGTCAGAGTAGACTGGAGCCAGTAATAATAAGGCCCACATCAGAGGTCCAACTCAATCTTCTTCTTGCGTTAAACAAAACCAAAATTGCTCCTTCCTTCCCCAGTTGGTCCCACTGTTAAACCCCCAGCCATGTTTTCATACCCCACATGGCTATGTTTGCACTGTTAAACCTTCTGCAATCTAGGTTTCTAAAATTTGGCCTCCAGAACTAATCCGAGTGCTGCGAAGATGTTTTTTAACGGTAATTTGAATGCATCTAATTCAACAATCATGACCATTCTACTGGAATAAATGATTGTATGTTCTACCCTCTCATTTTCATCAGTGTTACATTTGGCTTCTAAATCAGGTTAATTAAAAATTGCTGTAGTTAAGGCTGGATCTGCTGTAGCTTAACAGCTCCCCCCGCTGCCCCGCTATATATAAAACCTATGTTGCTGATGCGCTTGGGCATATACAAGGTTTTAGCAACCAAGCAGCAATTTGGCATGTTATTTATAGATCCAGTGATTGCACACATCGCCTTAATGATGAAGACCCTGAGTCAAAAATATCCACATTTCATCTGTTCACTGGATTTTTTTTTTTGAAGCGTCTTTTTTCCCTCCAGGTTGCTAATGGCCATTGGTACTGACTTTTTCTACACCTAAAGCCCAGCCCCTGAATACACTGAGCTGGGAACATCTTCCATTACTGGAGCCAGGTGGGATCCCCAGCACCATGGCTGTGCAGAGGAGAGGACCAGTGCCATCTCTGTACCACTGACCCATTTTTTTCTGCCATGAAAGGAATCAGGAGAGGGGACACCAATTATGCTCCTTATAACTCCTGGAGACAAAACACCACGGACCAGATCCTATTCCATCTATTAAGTGCACACATAGACATCGATGCCTAAATGTGATCCTATTCCATGTGGCTCATGTCCCTAAAAAGACCTTAAATACATCTACTTTTGCAGCACACCATCATCTTTGCTTTTCAAACAAATCACAAAAAAGCAGAAAGCAAGAGGGAAACCCATCCACCTTCTGCATTAATTTTCTTTCAGGGACTTGAGCAGAACAGAATAGGATGACACTTAGGCACCTAAATCCACTTCCACACCTAATAGGGAGAAAAGGAGCTGGTCCCCAGAAGTTAACTGAGATGGCTGGCGTGATGATGATGATGAGGAGCTGCAGCTGAAGCAGGCTAGGAGACAGAAACCGCCAGGACATACTTTCCATGTCAAACCATTTTCAGTATGTTCACCCCCGGTGGGAAGCCAGCGAGACCATGGCAACTCCTCCTGTGACACCTGGAGCCTTTTGAATGCATTTATGGTCATTAGATATTTCCTGTTACTTAGGGTCCTTGCCCTAAGAACAGCATATGATGTCCGATTTCCTTCACCTATGTCTTTTTTGACCAAAAGCATTGAGCAGGGTTGGCTCTGGAGACATTTCCGTCGCTCCCTTTTCTTATACTAGGTCAGGCTAAGGCAAGGCAACACATTGGAAGGGTCTAGTGCAGGACTACGTGAATTGAATTACAGCCTAACTGCATCCCTTAGGGTGAATTCAACCTGTATAGCACATGTGAAAGACCAGGGTGTACCAGGTGTATAGACTTCAGTACCACAGCTTTCCTCCTAATCAAAGCAAGAGCTCAGAGGCCAACGGGGGTCAGGTCAGATTCTCTGACCTCTTCAAGACAGTCTGTGATATGTTCAGCCTCAAATGGCTGGAGCAGGAGTTTGCAACACATGTGGAAAGCCCCACGACCTAAATAAAACAGGCCAAAGTCAAATACACCAGAGCACTTGTACTTCAGTGCCTGTATATGAAAAATGTGACCTGTGTTGTCGTAGCATTTTATTGACCTGTCTGAAGTCTTGCGGGCCTGTTGGCAGACAGTTTTTTATGGATGTCTTGAAAAAAAGATCACTTTTCAAATAAACCAGGATTCAGTGAAAGAGGCCAACATATGCAGACATGGAGTGCGGATGGACTTTCATTCTGTTCTTCCCTCGCCCCGATCACACGTAGTTTGCTACTGTGTGAGTCGACCTCCCGCAAACTATTATTGCCTCTGGTTGACTTAAGGAAAGACAAAGGAAAACTGTCAGGGATTTGCCCCTACTAATAAAGGGGTCAGAATGGGAAGCAGCAGAGGTTTTTTGTGGGTATTGGGGCAATTTCTCCATCCCTAAGTGGTGAAAATTCATTTGTTGGAGTCGCAACAGCTGGCAACACTGCGATGACATGGCTTTGTTCTGGTTTTCCCATTGACTTCCTAAGACTGTCCCCCTGCCATCCCAGCTCCATCTCTCCATCTACCTAGACTCTGATCCCACAAGGACAAGTGTAGGTGGGGAAAACTGCCACCTCCATCTGAAACCGCAGTGACTGCACTGAGCCTCCGGCTGGGATCGGGGCTCTAGACTTTTTCTTTGGGGGCAGTGAATGTCTTTTGCTGTGCTGGCAGCCAGTATAGCACCCGTGACAAAATGTGAGTGCCAAGAGAATTTGGGGAGATGTCAAGCAACAGCTATTAGAGAAGGAAAAAAAGATTTTTTTCCTGTTTTTTTTTTTTTTAATTTTCATTATGGATCAGACTAAAAATTAGTCCACAATCGATAGACCTGTTCATTTAAGTCTCTCTGCGGTAGACTTCTGCTACTATGAATCTGAAAAACACTAGCTGAACTGGCTTGAAAATCCTGATGTAACAACCAGATGAATAAAATGAAAAGCACTCCGGGCTGCAGTACTTGCTCGAGGATGTATATTAAAGCTGCCTTTAATTTTTCATGGATTTCTAAATGTTTCTATAAAATGATTACCATCTCTGCTCTTCATTATGCTTTCCTGTGCAATGCTGCCTTTGATTAATGGTTCCTAGGCCATAGCTCCCAACCATCCTAATCCCCCCATTTTGCATAACTTAATATGTGTACCTTGTGGAAACACAAAAGGAAAAAAAAAGACAGTTCAAGCAATAAATTATAATTGCTGCCGAATAGAGCCTTTTGACCGTTTTCAAGCAAAAGGAGTGGCGTTGTTTAGCTCCATCCTGGAAAATTATACCCAGATTGCTCATGAACAAGGAGTCTGCTTATATTTCCAGCCATATAGTTTCCTGTCTATATGCTTTCAGTTGTATTCAAATGTACGTATGAGAGCAATGCCGGGAGCCTGTAATTTCCCCTTCTGCTCAATGCAATGCTGTATCGAAGATGCGTCCCTTTGCATTCTGGTGCCCTTTGACACTGCTCCTTACTCCTTCTGGGATGGGTTGTGTCTCTCCTACCATTTCTTAAGTAGCTACTGCAGTGGTTCTGCACATCAGAAATGGGGAAAACATTGAGAAACTGGTGGAGATCAACAGAAAAGACTGAGCAAGTGAAAGGCTGGGTTAGGAGGCACGACTAAATATGCATGGCTCGGCTATGTGACAACAGACCACGAGGAGGAGGGCTTGTTGACTTCACAGAGGCAGCAAGGAAGTGGGTTTTAAGGAGGGTCAAAGGTTAGTGTGCTGCTACCCTCCCTTCATTTACTTAAACATTTATAAATCACAGATCCATCACACAACTCAGTAGCACAGCATCCGCAATTTAGATTCTCCAAGCCACCCCTTCCTCCGCATCCTTCGGTCAACACATAAGGAGAAGCCTGGGAGAACAGGCTGGCTTTGCAGAGCAGCACACTCAGGCATTAATGGACTAGGGGACAGAGATAAAGTCTCATGGGAAGCCATCCGCTTGGAAGAAGCCGTCTTTGGCCCTCCATCTCTGGAGCCGAGGGCACCATGTGAGGGATCAAAAAGCATGCAGAAGCAACGTGCTGTGCACGGCACGGCCTTCTGCCCTTGCTGAAGGTTGAGTACTCGTCAAGGGTTGCAGCAAAGCAGACACAGGTGACAAGGGCATGGACAGCCAAATCAGACAGCCACGTCAGCAAGACAAGGTCAGAACTTCCTGACCAGGAACGGATGGAAGAAAGCGCCACCTCAACCGCCAGAAACAGCAGAGCCTCGAACAAGCTGAGCACGAGGAGCAAAACTTCCTTGGTCTCTTATAGTTTTGTGTCTTTCCCCTCCACCCCTTGAAAACTGCCAACCTTGTTTTGGCCGGTCTTACTTGGATTGAGTGTCGGGCAGCTAATTCCCA